TGTACCTTATTTTTGAAGAAAATGAAGGAATTATAACATTCAGGACTAAGGAGGGAAAAATCATGGTAAGAAGAAAGGAAGATTCTTGGTAAGAAAGAGTCTTTTGGGGGCTAAACTTTAGCTTAATTTGGCAACATATTAGCTCTGCCCAAAGAGTTTTACTTATTCTCAGAATTCTTCTGTGAAAGCAATAAGCACCATCTCTTGGTACATTAAGCCAAAATTCAAAATACTGTGGGGCTTACCTAACAAAAATTCTACAGATTTGAAAAGGTATAGTGAAGACAGAATAAGCTACAAGTTGAACTAGAAAAACAAGATAACATTTTCTGATTCAGAGACAGATCATAGAGAGACTTTCAATGATAAAGGCCATAAGCACAGATTTTCAATGAAAATAATGAAGATGCAACCAAAGTGGTTTTTGTCTTTTGAAGCAAAAGTGTGATCACAGTCTTCCCAGCCTGCTTTCCTGGCTTTCTGATTTACAAGCATCCCTGGATTTGTGCAATTTGATTAATAGTTTACACATAGATGCATTATCTTGCTAGAAACTGCCTCTACCTACACTGTTTAGGTATTATTATTCCTCCTGACTGAAACTGAGCTGAAGATTTATTCACTTCAAGCAAGACCTTGATGAACTCATCAGCTTCTGCACTGGCCACCTTTCACTCCCAGTTCCATCCCACACACCCTGGTTTAACCCTGAAGTAACCAAGAGTTTGTTGTTGTCTTTCAGCAGTTTCATCACCACTGTTAGAGAAGACCTTCCCTAACATGTAGCAGACTTAGGGACAGAAAAACCTGTCTAGGCAGGTTCCAATAAAATGAAACACTGAACTACTGCCTATTTTATGCAGGTGTTTGAAAATTAGAGGCAATACAATTTATATGTCTTGCACACAAAAAGTTCTGCGCATCAGAAAAAAGCATTTCCTAGCTTATATTTCTCTTAAATAATAATAATAAAAAATCTGGCTTTAATTCCCAGTTTTCTGCTTATCTGATGCAGGTGACACTCCCTTGAAAGAAATTCTGTAACCTCCCCTGTCAAACTTGAATTTTGAGATATATCTGCAATCACTTCTGACTATACCGGACATAAACATGATAAAATGTCACTGGATGGAATTATAATACCATCTCAAAAGATCATTACATTATGTTAGGGTTGAAATCAAAAATACATTTTAATTCAAATCAGTTTATGCAGAAATCCATCAACTTCTGTATTCCTTGCTTTGGTCAGACTGTCTGCTTCATGCTTCACACACGAATCTAGGTTCCCATAGAAGTATAACAGGGTTTCAGGGCTACTCTTGCTAAAACCACTACAGACATTACAATCTTACTCTGATACTGATGATGCTCTTATTGATCATCTTCTTCCTTTTGTAATACTGCAAGCAACATGCGATATCCTAAGGGTTTAATTAAGCAATGATGGCTCAGGCAGGAGGTTTCCTGGGAATTAATGACCTCTTGGGAGGAGCTGATGTCATTAATTCCATTTGTTTATTAATCTTTAACTCCATTTGTTTATTAATCTCTATTAGGAAATGCTTCATGAAATTGCTACCTTTACTACAAGATGGAAGAATTAAGTTTACTAAATATTTTAAGTTTTTTCATGTTTCAGCTAGAAAATTTCAGACATGTCTAGAGAATTTAATAATCCACACAATTTTTTAAATTATGCTTCAAGATTTTCTTTTACATGTTTGGATTTTAAAACAGGAAGTATATAAACATGCATTGTTGAAACTTCAAGGTGAGAAAATGAAGCTATTCAAAATCTGAATAAAGATGTTGTGGTTGAACACGAAAGAACCACAGGAGCATTACAGAAGTGTATTTGGGCAAAGAGGATTACTGACAGAGACACAACTTGCTTCTGGTACTACACAAAGAGTACAAAACCAGATAAGGAAACCTGACAGAGTGTTTCCATGACCCTCAAAGCTCACCTTCCTGTACCAGGGCTAAGCAGGCTTAATTTCTTATTTATAACAATCCCACAAAGTGACACTTTGATCACTGAATTAATCTATTACACTGAATTTTGAGTTTTAGTCTGATTTGAATGCTATGAACATTTACAGAATGTATCTCCTGGTAGGAATGAAACTGCTGAGGACATGGAGAGGTTTTAACCCCATAAGAACATGGGGGTTTATCACCCCAGATTGTAAAAGAAGTCATTCTTTCAATTTTTCAAAATATCAGAATTCCCATTCAAAAGAAAGTTGTAAATACCAAAAGATTTCACTGCTTGGACATGAAGAATTCTTGCGAAAGAGAAATGCCAAAGTGTAATTTTAAGCAACTCAGATGGTGTCCCAGGTAAACTTTATCTTAAATAAGCATTGGTAAGTCTTGCAATTTAGAAAGCCAAGTCTTTTTTCAGAGCTCTTAGCTACCCAATTCTGAGTTACAAAGCCCAATTTCTCAGCCTAAACCCAAGAAACAATCACCAGATTTCAGTGTGAAGACTGAAATCCTGAAACTGTATATTGTTGACACTGATAGGAACGAGGGGTTACTCAGGGATTGGGGATTCTGGACTGTAAATTGCTTTTCAGTATGGAGTTCAGGGAGGAAGAAGAGTTGGTTAAATCTCGTATGCAAGTAGATTTATGCTAGAGGAACATTTCTGAATAACTTGTTCATATTACCAGTACTAAAACTGAAAAAAATTTGAGCAGCAGTATAAATAACAGCATTAATATCAGTCCTTCATAAAAAAAAAGGCTTGTTTTGACACTTAAGTAAACCAACATCAATGATATAAAGGTATTCCCCCAGGCATCATTGAGCAGCAGTATAAATAACAGCGTTAATATCAGTCCTTCATAAAAAAAAGCTTGTTTTGACACTTAAGTAAACCAACATCAATGATATAAAGGTATTCCCCCAGGCATCTACACTTTCATCTGAAAAATAAAGACTTCATCCAAAGCCAGTGAAATTAAATAGATTATTTCTCTGAAATGTTTTTTTTGATTATGGCATTAAATGGGAATATCAATGAAGAAGCATGTGTTTTACCTCAGAAAACTAAATTAATACAGCTAAAAAGAGGAATTTTTTTCTTATTGGTGGTTTCCAGTATATAACTGCTAAACTGCTTTTACTCAACTCATAGGAAAAAGAATAGCATTATTTTAGACAGGAGAGAACATAAAGGGAAGATAAGCTCTAAGTAATCAATATGGTCACAACACTCCTAGCAGCTTCTTTTCTTTCCATTGTTCTTGTGTCAGACACCTTCTGACATGCTAACAATGGTTCTTGGTTACAATGTAGGGGAAAAATCCCTTATTCAGAGCTGCATATATTACTGTGTAATGTAATATCTTGGTAGAGGAGGAGAAATTAGGACTTGGATTTTCACTGAAGATTTAGGTAGCTAGGTGACAAAATTCCATTATGAAAAGGAAGGGGATTATCCCTCTACATGTCTGTGCACATGCCACCAACACAGCCTCCCACTGGTGTCTTGCATGAAGTGTGTGCTCCTGGTTTTTAGCTTCAGCACTTCCAACTGGAGCCATGAGCAGAGACTTCTGAAGGTCACTGCCAGCCCTGGATGACAGAGGAAGTGCTGTTCTGTGATGCTCAGAAGGGTTCCAACTATTATGTGCTGTGTAGTTTGCTGCAGACCTGGAAATATTTCAGTTTTTCCAGCACAGCAGTTGACTTTTTCAAAGATGTCTGGCTGCTTACTTGAATTAAAGTGAACTTTACAGAATATCACTGAAAGCACCATAAACCAGCAGATTTATTTGGATCTTAGCCTATTGAATGCTAGCTGATCTCTCTAAATCTCAGCACTTTTACAGTTGCCTAATAGCATAGCATAGGCATAGCACCAACAAAGAAGATTGTACACTTGAACTATTCTATTTAACTAATAAAACAAAGGAAATTAGCAAAGCCTAATTAGCTCTGATCTTACTTGAGGTAAGAGAAGGCAATGAGAAGCTCTTATTTCGAATGTGGAATATTGACCGGGTGGTTTTACAGCACAGCTGATGACATCATTACTCTCTCCAGATAAACCTCTCAGTATTGCCACATTAATGAGCCACAGGATGAAGATGCTCCTTTGAGCTCCATGGAAAGATCAATATAGAGAAGAGATGCTATGCAGGCTCTTTGGTTCATTTGTGGAGAACCAGTCAATTGACTTAAGAATGAGACTCCAACTTTGACAAAGGAGCCTCATACAACCTTCAGAAGCATCATAAACACTGCAAGAATTGCACATTTATCACGCAAACTATTCTGGATATGTAACGTCAGAAATTATGAAAAGAGAGACAACTGCTTGCAAATCTTTCTTTTTAAGCTGTGTCGCCTAGAACAACCTAATGTGAAGTCTTCACTGCTAAAAATTTGCTGTGTTTCACTATAATGATAAAAGTGAATATATTAATGCTTCAGAGCTGTTAAAGAGTCTCTTAGCATTTCACAATTATAGTGGTAAAATCTTGGGAAGAAATGGCCTAGAGGAATTACTGTGGATGTAGTTTTCTCTGTTGCAAGGAGTCTTCCAAGAAAAGTATTTTAGATATTTTATTCTCACTCTCCTCATACAACCATGTGTGCATCTTAAATCAATGTTTATTTTCTGTAGTAAAGAAAGCTGTGATTCTATCCTAATAAATGACACAACAGATGTAAGAAGAAGCAAATAAATAAAATGACTCAACAGACAACTCTGTTGACCTGAAATGGATGCAGGACTAGTGATGGTAAGAGATGAGGGATTCTACTGGCAAGAACTGGCCTCATTTTGTAGTCACCCCACCACTGTGGAACACTCAAAAAAAACTAGGATACACTGCATGCTGGTTCTTATCATCAATAATGGGCAACAAATGAAAATGTTCTATTTTATTTATTTTGTAGCCTTTCAAAACTACAAAAACAGACATTAAAAAAAAACCAAAAACAAAAACACAAAAACAACAAAAACCCCAAAAAGCCTCAGAAGGGATTTACAGGATTTATACACATAGTTCCTCAATAATCCCTGCCCTGAAATGATTAAAATGTAACACAACAAAATCAATGGGATTATTCAGCCAGCTCGCCCTCCCCCAAATCAAACAGTTCCAGTTTACAGCCATGAAGAAACTGCCCCAGGTGAGTCTGCCAAATGACTCTGAGCCCCTGCCTCCCTTCAGTGTGCATTCCCAATGCCTTCCTCTCTCCCATGGCCCCATGAGCTCCCCGGGCAAAGCTGAATTCAGCCTGCTGCCCACCATCTTCAGTGTGCTGGACAGAAGAGCTGTGTTTGCTGGGACACAGCACCAGCAGTAACACCATTCAGATCCATCATTTCTACAATTCTCTGATAATAAAAGATAATAAAAAACTAAAGAGCAGTTTAAAACCAGGCTGAAACAAAGTCAGTTTAACCAACTGTAACCACATTCAGAAAATGAGGATATTTCACTGGAATCTTTTGGAGTAAACAGAGTTGATCCTGCTTATCACAGATTTTGTTTTGTATCCTTTCTGAGGCTATAGAAAAGGTTTATTGTTAAATTGTTATGGTTTTTATTCTCATTAATCTACCCTCATTTGCTTTTTCCAAGTGCAGTAATGCTTTTGATTTGAAGAGTCACATTGAAATGCCACGATCCCAAGGACTGAATGGAGAAAATTTAAGCACAGGCCAACGTCTCGCTGGGATTTGCAGAACCTTCTGTAAAGTAAATAAGGCCCTTGTGGCTTATCAGTCATTGGTGTGCTCAGCTCCCTAAAGTAAGAGAATTGAGGGGATTAGTTAGAGGAGAAATGAAATGTACCTAATTAATCCCCCAGATCCCTGCAGATTATATGGCATGTTTGGAACAGCAGGAAATTGTGACTGAAATTAAAAATACATACCTACAGCAGTGATACTGAGAAATGCAGCCTTTTCTCCTACTACCACAATATCAGTGATATATTAATAAAGTCTATTACATTACACAGGTTTTTAATAATTTTCTAACATTTTCCTGTCACACTTTTTTTTAAGCACATGGTAAAAAAAAAATTACGGCAGTTTCAATTTGTCAAAGTCTGAAATTAATTTTATATTTCAGTTCCTCATTCTAACCCACTTTGGAAGAAGTGCTTCAGTTGCCTCTACATAATCTTTCTTCATAGTGGGGAAGAAAAAAATTCTGTTTATAGAGTATATGATAAAACTTCAAAACTTATCTTCAGGAGAAGATTACAGAAATATTTCTCTGAATTCATGCCAATGTCTTCAGAATTCTGCTATTGTTTATCTTTTTAAACTGCATAGATTGAAACTAATAATAATGTTTCTGCAGGTCCAGTCACTTTTATAGGAAGTGATTCTTCCTGTGGCAATTACAGATTCCCTATGTTTTCCTCCCATGGAGTATAAATAAATATCTTTCCGTGTTTGTCCATTCTTTTCTCTGGTCCTCTCACATGCTCTCATCCATGGAATTGAATACCCACTAGCGCTGAAATTAACTTTTCTGTGGGAGCTGTGGAATGGCACTGTCAGTAGGCAGAAATATTTCTAAGTAGAATTTCGAAGGGGTCTTAACAAAAGAGGGGCTGAAGAAGAACATTTGCATTCCCCTCACTGCCAAACTACAGGACAAGGAGAAAGGACTGAGAATGTAAAAACAGCTCTGGGAAACATTCGGAGAAATAGCCATAGATAGACAGGAAATCAAGTACTTTTTCATGGAAAAGTGATCTGAACTGACCACAGGGAAGGACAGACAGGAATTCAACAAAACCACCACTGTGTGAAAACACTCAGCTACATCAGTTCCCATAAGACAAAATGACTCAATTTGCAACCCATCAATCATTTGCCATAATAAGGGGAGTAAATACATCATCATAGATGGCTGTCATGTGTGTTCTACTTCCAAAATAAATATCCAGGGATTCCTCCATTATTCTTTTCCATAAAACAGATAATTGTAAAATAAAAAATTGGTTGTATTACAGCATTTCAGTGTGAGCAGGAACCCATTGTTTTCTGACTTTATTTCAACAGCATTAAGTCTAATTTAAAAAAAACAAAAAACAAAAAACAAAAAAACCTAGTTGAGTAATTGTGGATGTCTCTGCCACATTTCATTAACCCAACTCTACCTATCAATGACTTCATAAGAGCCACTGACTGACAAATAATTTCACAAAGAGACTGCAAATTAGCACTATCAATTATCTTCACCTGCAGATTTCTGGACTCTATATTTTAGAACAATATCACATTATGACCTAAACATTTAAAAATATCTAAAAATGTACAATAAGCTTCTAATATTTTGCATCTCAACTAAAGCTTGCTGTGATGTAGAAAGGTATCTAAGACATTTTTAATAAGATTATGAAGTATTTGATTACAAACATCAAAAAATACAGAAAACACACAGAATTAAAAATCCTTTCCTAGTTTCCTTTCTCTAGCATCATGACAATTCATTAGTTTCAATTCCTTGAAGCTCATGCACACATTATCTCCATTTTTGAGAAATACAGAATTACTTAATTTTTTCCCAGTTTGATTCCTGAATTAACTTTAAAATAATCTGTGTCACATTAATTTAAAACTGTCAGATGCTAGCAGATTTCATGTGCTACTCATAATTTTAACTCCTGGAATATCTAAAATTAATTTGTAATCCAAAATGAAAGCCAAAGCATCTCAAAAATCTCAAGAAATTTAGGTATCATACTTAAGCCTGAAAAACAGAAAGGGAAAGGTTGTGGGATCCTGCCTACAACCACTTGCCAGACAGAAATCTTAAAAGATTTATCCATTGTGAGAAATGGAGTTACCAGTGGAGTGCCTCAGAAATGGGATTCTCAGGTTTGGTTCTTTAGTTTGGGTTGAAGCTTGAACTGTATGCTGTAATTCAGCTCCTTCTGGGTCCTGCCTTTCGTTCACCTTCATTTCAGTCTCTTGAAGCCAGTGCTGTTCACAAAACAGGCCAGCCCACAATTTCATACACCTCTAGATCCCCTCAATCAAGTGTTGGCAGAAACTTGCTTAAGCATCTGCTTAGCTCTCATAAAGCACCTGAAGACACACCAGGCTGAGCCAACCATCTCCTGCAAATCTGCATAATAATTTCACAGTGCAAATGTTTCCAAAGGGAAATATATGTAGTATGACCAAAGTATTATGCAAATGTTGTTTTTACAGTGATTTAGCCCTGCCATAATATCTTATGCTGTTATACAAGCAGTGCATTAAGCCATGTCATTGCTGACAAAAGCAGGCAGGAGCTGGACCAGATATCCTGCAGCCTCAGCCTGAATGTATGGATGCCTTGGGGGCACACTACCTATTAATTTAAAATTCTGAAACTAATTATGTATGTCAGGGTGACCTCTTTCTAATCTACATTCATCACAGAACACAAGCCTTCTGTCTCTGTTGTTCCCATAATAAAATAGCTGCTGATAGACTTATATAATTGACTGTATCTGAAGTGGACTCCTACCATGGTGCTACATTCAAATTGTATGTAATCCCAGCTGAATAAAGATAAGCAAAAAATAATCCATCTATCTCAAGTAATTAACTTCTAAGGTTACATAGTAACATTGGAAAAAAATTATTACCCGTGATCTTAAAAACAACATAACAGAGCACATAGAAGTCACATTCATTGCTGAGCAACCAAGAAATTATTTGCAACATTTAAAATGCATGTAGCATAGTACACAGTCATTTCTATTTATTTATTCCACAAATATCTTGATATGTTCAAGACTCACTGATGAAATACACACCTATAGACCCCTCAGTCTGACACTGGGGTTTTTAGAGATGCCTAAAAGAATTAAGTAGCCAATTATCACTGATTTCTAAAGGAAACAATATCTAAATCTCATTGAATTTTAAAGAAAACAAAGGATCAAACATAGCAGAGCTTTCATCCTCTGCTGGACATCTATCCAGACTACAATAGAAATGAAAAAAGAGGTGCTGTTGCCTTCTCCTCCAGCCTACCTTGGAGAATTCCTCAGTCACATTGCTTTAAGAGAAATCAGACTACAGCCCAGTTTAGAATACTAACAAAATCAAATCCCAACAACCTTAATTTCTCTTTTCTTTGGCACTGTGGCTTCAGTGAGGCTGGTGACTGAGGAAATTCCAAATGACTTGGAAATCTTTTAGACAGTGGTTCTGAGACCATTGAGATCTGTAGACCTGCTCACTTTTGGGAGCAGTCCCACAATCTCAAGCCAAGTTACTCAAACACATAACAGTCTTTATAGGATCATGTTTCTTCTGAAGATCTTTAAATCCAAAATGGTTGCACTGTATTGCATGTGTGAACGGCGAAATGAAATTGAAAGGTCATCATTAAAGGGAAACAGATCTCTGAAATATTCTGGCTCAACAAGCACACAACCTCTCTCTCCTCTAAGCTGCACTAGAGGCAGAGGGACAGAATGTAAAAGCAATCTAAAAAGCTAACATTGTAATAATGTGAGGGGACATAACAGATACATCTTTTTTGAAGCATGTTCAATTTCTAGTGGTGAGGAACAGAGAGCTTAGTGAGGCAAAAATTCATCTGTTTTTCCTCTTAGAAAGCAATTATGAGTACAGCTACACTACAGAAAACTGGAATAACACATTAAAAGATGTGAACGAGATCCAGCTTAAAAGTCAAAAGTACATTTATATTTGGAAATTAATATTAACTTCCTTACCAGGATTGCATCAGATGTCCTAAAATCACAAAAGCAGCAGTCTGTTCTGTATAAATGAGCTGAAATGAGGAAAATAGATAGTAAATGCATTAATTGATCTGCGTGACAGTGTACCATAAATATTTGATTTAATCAGTAACAAACATTAATTTAACACTTAATCATCAGTTTAAAAAATTAGCATTTTTAATAAACAGGTCAGTGTGAGCTCCAATGCACATATCTGAGCTGAGAATGAAAAAGAGTTACACACCTGAACCAATCCAAAGCTTTCACACAGGTGTGTATCTTATTTATCAAATCAGCTCTGCTTGGCAATAACATTACTCAGTTTCTCTTGCAGCCCAATTTCCCCAATATTTATTTATGCTAATAATGAAATATTAAGAGGTTTTTATTCACTGGAATGCATTCATTTGCACTGTGGAGTGCTCCATTAGAATCCATCTCCTCTGGAAATGATGGACACTCTACTTTCAAATGCTCCATGCTTTTCTAAAAGAGGCACTTGAGACCAATAGGTTATTTGGCTCCAGTGAAATGTAGCTGAAGCTGTATGGATCTTTCACAGAGCACACTGCAACATGCACCAGCCAGCTGTGGGGAATCCAGGTCACAGCTGTGAAAGAACTCCCAGAGGCCTAAGGACCTATGTACAGCACTTCAGGTAAAGATTTTGACCTCATCTTCTCCACTAGATGCACACATGTCCTTTCCACATAAAGCTTTCCCCTGGATAAATTTTGTACGTGGGACAATGTACAAGCACATGTCACCTTATGCACTGCTGGCAGGATCCAAACACCACAGTGACAGATGCAGTGAAAGGGTTGGGACAGAACAAAACCCACAGCCAGAACATTTTCCTATAGTCCTTAAAACCTGACAAAACACTGCTTTACAACTGAAGTTACTTTTCATGCAGTTTAGCTGCCTATTTCACCCATTTGAAATGTCACTCACTAACATCCTAAGAAAACATGAACCCATTATATTCACTGAAAAACTCACGTGAACTTTACTGAATGCAAAGCTGAGCTCCTGTAACAATGCTACTACATGGGACTAGTGAATCTGGGCTTACAAAATTCCCTACTAAGCTTCAGAAGAAAACATAAAAGACAAATTACTCTGCCAAAGACTGGTATTATGCCCTCCCTGAAAAGAGGTTCTCTGTAGAAGCCACTTTTGATATTTCATATTTAGTGGTCTCTCCAAAGTCAAAAAACGTACCATTTCAGGAAACATTCACAAAAAATCAAGTACTACAATAACTGAGAAAATACTTCTTCAAAAGACCAGCCAGCTTATCTAATACTTTCTGTTTATATTCTTTGTGTTCTTACTACAGCTTCTGCAAAAGATGGCATTTCTTTGTGAGATTGAAGTACTTTATTTTTTAGACTTCCTACGTGCAAACAGCCTTTTCTCTAGGAACAGTTTTACCTTCTTTGTGTGTCTGTTTGCTAGCAGCAGGATGTATGTATGTGTGTAAACAACATAAAAATTTCCAATTAGAACAACACATTTTCACTTCTTTGGTTATTGACAAAAAACATTTCTAAGGAAAAATGCAAACAAGTGTTGCATTTTTCTGTGAGGGGTTTTTCATGTAATGGCTAAAGAGCAGAACCACTCAAATCTTACAGACCTTTAAGATGTGCATCTCCAGAACTGAAATTGTGTTCTCACATTAGGGAACTTGGCTAGCAATCAAGAAGCTGAAATTCCAGACTGCAACATATTCACAAATCACAAGAGACTACCCTACAGTCTACTGTCTGTCATTTGGACATCAGTGTCCTTACTGAAGCTCTCAGGCATTTTCTGATACACCAGACAGATTCTAGTGTATAAACAACCTTATTACAACAATAATAGGTTGGCTCCCTTCTCGAGAACAACAGTTGTGAAATATAAAATTCATTATTTACCCAACAGGAATGTTGTTAGCACACAATATTTTTACTTTTATTATCAACCTGCTTGCTTCTATGTTAACAATTCTGGTGTAATGTAAGTGATGTCCCTATTAGAGTGGTAAATCATCTTTTCACCAATACAGCAAGAAAGCCATCAATATGAAAATTGCTTATTCAGAGTCACCTTAGGTAATGTACTTATCATTATATCTAGGGCTTAATCTTAACCTGTGTGTTGAGCAACCTGTGAAGCAGCAGCTTCCAGAGGTATCATCATCCTAATGTTCCCTTAGTGGCTTTTATTATACTTTTGTGAAGAGTTTTAAATTATTTTTAATACTGCACAAAGTCCACTTTCTTTTCCAGTTCATGTCTCTATTTTACAGACACGATGTTGCATTTAGGAAACCCCAAAGTGCACCTTTCTCTCATTGCAAGTAAGATTTGGGAATGAAAGTCACCTTGAAACTTGCTAGAATTTGAAGTCCCAAGTAATCTAAATCATTTTTACATCCCTTTTTTTAAAACTGAACACATTTAGCATCTGTGCTCAGCACAGCATTCAATGAAGGACACCTGTTGGCAACCTGAGAGTCTCTCTTAACAGTAATTAACTTCCAATTCTCAACATTACATTTCAGCAATGTTCTCTCTAGGTGTTCCATGACATCTGATAGCTCTGTAATTCCCTTCCAAAACCAATGCCTCATTCCTTCCACAGAAACAGTCTTACAGTTTTGGGGCTCTGAAATGTGAATACATGGAATTAATAGAATGAACTCTTCACTGAATGTCTCTTGATCTCAGAATACTTACATATTTTTCCAGCATATATTAGTACAGAGTAGGCAATGGGTCTAAATCAGCAAACTTCCTTTAGTATAAAGAAGGATTCTTTTGTTGACCTACTTTATAACATGAGATCATATCTATTCTGATAAGAATTTTCTCCCAGTTATCACTACTCTTGGGGAAAGAGATGGTAAGTCACAACTTTATCACCCACTGCATGACAAGAAGGCACTCCTGAATCTTTCAGAAGCTTGCTCTGGTTCAGAAGGCAAGATTTTAATGTGGGCTATGGCAGTGACAGCACCCCTGCACTGCAGACAGGACTAACTAGACTTTACTGTATGTCCACCAGACTACCCAGCGCTTCTTTGTTCTCAAAGCTTTCAGTTTTCTTCTTATTATTCTCTGTTCTCACTAACATAATGCCCAATAACATCTTAAATGAGATTTGCACTGACTTCCAAAGCAGTGAGAAGTAAAAAATAAACATACTGAAATAATAAAGTGCCAAGCACTGTCACCATCAAGTATTTGCATTATATTGGACTTTTTAGAAAAGAGAGTCACCCACAGAAAATGAAGCTTCTGAACAAACCTCTGTATACCACTGACCTGTTGTGATTAGAATTCACTGCTGAGTCTGTGCACTTATTTCTTAGGACTTTGTCCTGAAGTTCAAAGTTCCATTTCTTGGCACAAACCTTAAGAGCATTCAGAAGTGGTTACAAAGCTGTGTCAGTCCCTTTATCCATCCCATTGATGATAAATCAGAAAGCTACAAGTCACTTTCAAACTGTCACAAGAAGTCCAACTGCTGTTAAAGAATTTTCTATAGCACCTCTCTACAGCACTGGCACTTCTTTTGTGCAAACTTCTTAACTAACTGAAGCTAGGAAGTGCATAACTACCTTTTTCTCCATTAGGAAGTGACTGATGATTCCTGAAAAAAATCATTGTTACAGCCCTTGACAGAAAATAACAAAATGGGGATTTTGTCTTTCTGTTAGAATAGACAGTTCTTTACAAGTTCTCAAGTAACTTCATTTAAACACTTTCAAGTGGGAATCTTTTCATCTCCTACAGGCAAAGACCATTCCTACCTTTTTTTTTCAGTGTCAGAGGAAGGGCTTTCCACATGGCTACTTTCTGGCAGTCAGGGATAACTCTGGGTTTGTCAGTGATGACTGCACAGCCTTGCAGAACAGAACAGCTAATCCTGAGTTATGACTGATCCAGCTCCATCCACAACTCACACCTCCTCCCGTAATACAGAACCAATGCCATGCTCAATGCATGCTTATGGTTTTCTCACTGAAGACTGTGGACTGATACTTAAAGTTGTGCTAAATTTGAACTGTTTGGCAGAAACCAGCCTCACCCAAAGTCTGTCCTCACTTCTGCTTAGTCATTAACTTATTCACTATCAGTCAAAACAGCAGCTCATGGAGATCACACTTTTCCAGGAAGAAGTGATGGGAAAAGACATGTCACTACTGATGCTGTAATAAATCTGCTGTTTATGGGCTCAGAACCTTCAGAAGTACCTGTGTGTTTCACAGTGATTACACAGGGAGCTGTAGATCCCCATGGGTGTGTACAGGGAGCTGCTTTGCTATTGGGATTTTGTCATTTCAGCTTGACTGTGCACCCCAGCCTTTCAGTCCAGCTGTACCTTTACACTGTAGGAGATGGCACCAATAACATCTGCTTCTACACATTCACAAATAAAAGAAATACCAATACTCAGAAAAAATTTAAAATCCTAGTATCACTAACAAGTTATACAGAGGATTTCTCACATGTTGTAGGCAACCTGTACACTAATAAATTATACTACATATGATACTTTCTAAAGTTGAATATTCTGCTGTAGGGGCTTTGTGTGAGAGCTAGTTACAATTTTTCCTTTCTTCCAAGACAGAGTGAGCCATTAAAAAAATAATTTCTTGAGCTAATTTAAAATTATTTGAGTAGACTTACAAGTTCACTGGCAGTAATTTTTCTTTCTTTAAATAATTTTATTAGTAAGATTCTGCCAGACAATGTATTTTTTCTTATGATCCATTATTTGTAATTCTGGGTGGACCACATTATAAATGTAGCAATAATCACACATTCAGTATAGCCTGCTCTCACAATATAATGCAGGTAGGAGCACAGGAAAATAGGTCACAAGAGCTTACTGATGTGCAGCTGTCAAACCTTTTATTCATCTCAAGGTTTGGTGGTTTCTGGACAAATGCACTATGATTGAAATCCCACTGCAGAAGTAAAGCTTTCAAGGTGAAATAGTATTTCATTTTCATTATCATGAAAGAGAAGAAGAAATGTCTGCAGTAGCAGAA